AGGCCAGCCTGGGCTACATGAGGCCTTGTCTTAAAAATAATTGCATCTGTACTACATGTGTACAGACATTTTTTTTGTCGTTACTCCCTACATAGCAAAGCCTGACAATGCTTTATATGACAATTATATTGCACTAGGTATTTGAAGACATCTAGGGGTGATTTTAAAATATACATGAGGATTTACATAGGGTATATGCAAATATTAAGTCTCTTTCCATAAGTGACTTGGGCATTCAAGATTTTGGTACCCTGGTGGGGATCAGAGGGTGCCTGAGAACCAATATTTTACATTACTGATGCTCTGGGCCAGACACTCCACCCATTCATTTTCCATGATAAATTGTGCTCTAAGGATCAGGTTATCGATCATTTTAGTTCATACTAATTTTTTTCTACATTGTACAGTGTTTTTTGTCACTAAACATTTTTTTCATATACAATATTACTCAGGGATAGCAAAAGAAGTCTGGTGGGAATATGGAGGGAATCAAGGAGTTTTGGTCTCTGGCCCATGAGTTTTCAAACCTTGATGCAGAGATCTGCACTATCACCATTATCTCAGACTGAAATGAGTGCCATCTGACTCCACTGGTCCCTACTGAACTCCTGGGGTGAAACTCAGATCTTGTATTTTAGCACCCCCACCCCAGTCCCAGGCAAGCCATTGATTTATTGATTTGTTCTGTCCTTACCCCACTACTACAGACACACCCAGTTTGGCAGAACACTTGTTTTGGTAACATAATTAAGGAGTTGTTACTTTCCCAAGGTTAAACAATTAATCTCTACAAGTGAATGTAAATTATATCTTGAACTATGATTCAGAGTCAGGAGGTGTTACCAAGCCAAGCACTGAGGCTAAGGCAAGAGAACTAATTCAAGACCAGCCTGGGGTTCATAGTGAGCTCCAGGTCAGCCAACCTGGACAACAGACTGAGGCCCTATCATTCTCTAAGGCCCCCAAAGCCAAAATCTTATTGTTTCTGATTGCTAAATGCAATACTGTCACGGCATGCACCTTAACATGAGTTTATCTGGATACACTGTAAACTATGTTTTGTAAGTATTTGCTTCAAACCGGTTACCTTGCAGCTGGAAAGAGTCTTTGTGGTCAACCTTTGCCTCAGCAACATTAGGTGCAGCATCCTCCAGCTCACCTATGATGCCATGGACTGGTGACCGCTGGGGTCTTTAAAGTTCTCTGTGTTAGCTATGTCCCCTCCTACACTTAGACAAGAATCTAAAATAATGCTTTGCGTTTTGCAGATCAGATAACAACTTATTCTGTTGTTAATTAGATCAAAGGAATAGAAAGCAAAATGATTGGCCCCAAGAGAAAGGTTTCCCTAGAGGACACCATTGGAAGATGTCTGAGTTGTGAAAGAATTGTTGTTCTGGTTAAAGACAGGCTTTGCAAATGTATTCTTCCTTTACTTTAGGGCCATGACCATCACATCACCATTGAAACATAAACCAAGAGCATCACCATTAAAACATAAACCAAGAGCATCATTTCTAACCCATCACCCTGGGCTGGAGTTACTTAGCTGGTTAGACCAAGTAAATAGGGGTGTCAAGGTCCTCTACTTTCTCAGATTACTTCAAAGTGAAAACCAAATCTCTACATTGTATTTATTTATTTGTTTTTTTTTTTTTGAGACAGGGTTTCTCTGTATTGTTTTGGAGGTTTTCCTGGAGCTCACTCTGTAGACCAGACTGGCTTTGAACTCACAGAGATCCCGCTTGCCTCTGCCTCTGAGTGCTGGGATTAAAGGCATGAGCCACCAATGCCCGGCTCCCTACATTTTAAATTAAGAAAGAATCCCTGAGTCATTTGAGTCATTTGACTTGCTTCCATAACAAAGCCAACTGCAGAGCCAAGCATGGTGGCAGAGCCAAGCATGGTGACACATGCCTGTCATCCCAGCACTCAGGAGGCTAATGCAAGAGCATGGAGGATTCGAGGTTGCCTGGGCTACTCATAAAGGCACTGCCACAAAATGAAACCAAACCTCAAAGCAAACTACATAAAAAAATGTCCTTCCAAAGAGAAGCCCAAGAACTAATTCAAAAGTTCGCCCTTTCTGCCTGGGTAACTTGGCCCCTCAATGCAACCACATTAAATGTTCAGTCAGCACTCTCCCGGCCAAGCTTCCTGTGTGCTATTGTTTAACTTTACTAATCGGGTGTTTCTGTATGAACCTGTGCCTTCCCAAGCTCGTCCCTGAGCAAAGAATAATGATTAATTGGGGATGAAAAAGTAGTCCCAGAACAATTATGAAAGCATAATGAAGAGTACTGCAGCTCAGCCAAGGGAAGATTCACGAGGAAGCCAGAAATCTTCCACTAGTTGCCCCGGCTTGCCCGGAGGTGTTCCTGCACTTGATCCTTTGTGTACTTCTGGGCAACAGGATTAAACCCAAACTGTTTGTTTTGCTTTTGCATAACACCCGAGTCTTTCCACCCTTTCAGCTGATTGGGCGGGCCAAGCAGCAACTTTTCCAGTGCCGTGCCTCTACCTCGATTTTCTCTGGGTTTTGCCGGGTCATGTGAACTCCATCTTGTCCCTCCTTTAAGGGAAAGTCGGAGGTGCTGAGTGCCCCAAGGACAGGCCTTCTCACCCACCTTTGATTGCTGTTCCTTTCTTTCCTATCTTTTTTGCAGTGCCGGGATTTGAACCTTAGGCCTTGTACGTCGTGCGAATACCACTGAGCTGTATCTCCAGACCCAGTTGAAAAAATTTTTAAACTGCATTTCATTATGCTCTCATTTGCCTCTTTTTTAAAAAATACTTTTATTTCTATTTTTTCTTTTCTTTCTGTCTGTTTTTGTTTTTTGTTTTGTTTTGTTTTTTCGAGACAGGATTTCTCTGTGGCTTTGGAGGCTGTCCTGGAACTAGCTCTTGTAGACCAGACTGGTCTCAAATTCACAGAGATTCACCTGCCTCTGTCTCCCAAGTACTGTTATTTCTATTTTGAAATAGGTCTTATTAAGTTGCCCGGGCTGTCCTTGAACTTGCCATCTTTCCTGTTTTAGTCTCTAAAATGCTGGGCTAACAGGACTGTAGTAGGTTCCAAGTCTTCTGTTGTTTCAGATAAACAATACTCTCTATATTTTGGAGGTGGTGTTCTATATAGCTTAATAACTCTGTGTGTGTGTGTGCGCGCGCGCACGCGTGCATGCACCTAGGTATTGAAACCAAGGCCTTGTAGTACTAAACAGATGCTTTACCCCTGAGCAGCATACATACACCCTCAAAAAGAAGTCTTGAATAGTGTTCACCACATAAAGGGTTCTTCTGTCTGCAGCAGAGAGAATGCCTTTAAGATGGCCCCAGGGAAAGATAGACATGTCTAGCCTGATTAATTGGCTAGTTCAGGAGTAATTGCTTCCAAAGTGAGGACCAAGGGCATGGTTGCTAAGCCTGTGAGTGTCAACTTTGTTCTTGACTGTAGGAAAGGGCAGGTAGGGAAGGCTGAGGCATCCTGTGTCAATAGTAAAAAGCTCACAGCATCCATTCTGGATAAGCAGGCTGAACTGCCACCTGTTCAGGAGGAGTAGCAGGACCAGGCATCCTCTAAGAGGATAACCAGCTTTGTAAAACATTCTCCTAGACGGATTTCTAATCCAGGACCGAGAATGGGGGGCTTGGTTCAAGAGCAGGCAAAAGAGGAACAACAGCTGTATTTTTGAATATGTAAACAGCACCATTTGGTGTGGTACTAGGTTAAATTCAAAAGCATTGGAGAGTCTTATTTTTGTCAGCATCTGTACTTCTTAATATGGTAATGTCATTTTTGTTTATCCCCTCGGTCTGTGTAAATCTGAACCTCCATGTTATTGGCCAGTTGGAAAGGGTAATGTAAACAGAGTCAGTTACCCTAATTAAATTATGTATCTGTATACTGAATGCTTTGTCAGGCTGCAACTATTTCAGTATTAGTTCTAAGCCACACGGCTTTGCCAAAATGAAGTTACAGATGCCAAAATTACCCTCTGTTGTTTAGACACAGCAGGCATAATAACCTAATATTTAACAGGGTTATTTCTGGAAAAAGGATGAAGCTGGAGACTGAACTGTCCTTTGCACTCAGGGCACCAAAGAGGGAAGGGAGCTGCTTTACGAATCGGCTGCAGTCTCCTTTGCTGCTGACCTAAAGACCCAGGGGAGGGCTCCTCAGAACATTTGTTTGAGGCAGGTGCAGAAAGAGTTTAGTAAGGAGGAAAGAAAAATGATACGTAAGCAGAAAAACAAAACATGTAAATAAGAGCCGAGGAGTGACGCTCCAGCTCAGGGCGGGCGCCGTCAGGCTGCCGTCTGGGTGTTTGGCGTCTCATGTTCCTACTTGTAGGAAGGGATCGGCAGGCTGTTCTAGTCTATCAGCAGAGACTTTGCAGACGGAGCATGGGCACTGAAGGGCCCTCTTTCTGCACAGGCCAGAACAAGAGCTCCTTTTCCACTGGGAGTCAATACACAGGGCAAAGACTCTAACTTGTGAAGCGCTGACAAACAGTGAAGGAAAATGGAAAGGCAATCAGTGGCCAAGGGGATGCTTAAAACCACTTGGAAAGTAGGCCATGGAAAGTTGGGTGTGGGTGAAAGCCAGCATTGTGGACTCAGTAGGATCAGAAGTTCAAACCTAGCCTCTCTACATAGTGAGTTCCAGGCCAGTCTGGATTGCTCGATACCCTGTTTTGTTTTGAAAATAAAGTCACGGAAAAGTGGAAGAATGCAAATGGTTAAAACCTTAACGCTGCTTAGATGCAGATCGGAAAGTGGGCAGAATTCACGCTCCATTCTGAGAAGCCTTCAGGTTTCATCCAAATTAGAGGGTGTAGCTCACTACCTCCTCATTAGACCCCAACATTCTGTAACACTAGAGCAGATGCCTGAGTAAGAGGAGAGGGGTTCATGCCCCCACCCACTCACACACCTCTGCGGTGTTGGATCCCCTAGGACCGGAACTCCTCCCCCTGGGAGCTCTTGTTTTGGAAACTGGTGGGGTGGGGCCAGAAAACATTACAATGGAGCTGGGATGGAGGAGGTGTGCCTTTATTTCAGATTGTGTCATTTGAGCAGAGTCTCCCGAAACTGCAGCTGACAGAACGCAGGCTGTGTTAGATCCCCTGGGTTGTTAAGCTGGCACACCCCGGAGAGTAGGCAACAGAGCCGGCGAGAGAAGCAGCAAAGAGGGGAGGAAACCCCACGCTCAGCCCGTCTTATCCCTTCAACTTTGGCGTTTGCGGTGGTGATTGTAACCGGAGGAGGAAGAGCTAGGAGAAACCCCTGAGGGAAAAGAACGAAAGGAGAGGCGAGAAACTCAATCGAAAAAGGGGTAGCAGTGCGAGTGAAACACCCCCGCACATGCAAACGCGAAGGCCCAAGGAAGAGGAGAAAAAGGCTGGACCTCGGCAACCTGCTGCTGGGATTTAGACAAAAGAGGTTTGAGAGAGGCGGGATCAGATTCTAATATCAGCCTGAGCAGAGAGCCAGCAGCCGGGCTCCGGAAGATGAAGCGGCCGGAATTCACAGTGGCTGGAGCATGTACCATGGTGAAAGCTCCCAGGGAAAAGTAAGTCTGGGAAGAGACTTGCAGAGCTTGACCAGCTCTGACATCTCGCCCCTCTTTAAGGCATGCCTCCGTCCATGCGTTACCTCTTCATAGTCTCTGTGACTACTGTTATCGTTTTTATTGTGCTCTACGTGTTAAGTTTTGGGGGAGATCAAAGCTACCAGAAGCTGAACATCTCAGACTCCGTGATGCTGACTCAGGTGTGCACATCCTTTATCAACGGGAGAAGCCCTTTCCCGTGGAGAAACAAACTAACGATCCACGAGAAACCTTCTTGCGCAGAATATGTGACCCAAAGCCACTATATCACAGCCCCTTTATCTCAGGAAGAGGTCGAATTTCCTTTGGCGTATGTCATGGTTATCCATCACAATTTTGACACCTTTGCAAGGCTCTTCAGGGCTATCTTCATGCCTCAGAATGTCTACTGTGTTCATGTGGACGAAAAGGCAACCGCTGAATTCAAAGGCGCAGTGGAACAGTTAGTGAGCTGTTTCCCCAATGCCTTTATGGCCTCGAAGATGGAGCCTGTGGTCTATGGTGGGATCTCCCGGCTCCAGGCTGACCTGAACTGCATCAAGGATCTGTCCACCTCCGAGGTTCCCTGGAAATACGCCATCAACACCTGTGGGCAGGACTTCCCCCTGAAAACCAACAAGGAAATAGTTCAGTACCTGAAAGGGCTTAAGGGGAAGAACCTCACTCCAGGGGTCCTGCCTCCAGCTCACGCAATTGGAAGGACCAAGTTCGTCCACCGGGAACACCTGAGCAAAGAGCTTTCCTATGTGATCAGAACCACCGCCCTGAAGCCTCCACCTCCCCACAACCTCACCATTTACTTTGGCTCTGCCTACGTGGCTCTATCAAGAGAGTTTGTCAACTTTGTTCTCCATGACCCCCGGGCGGTTGATTTGCTCCATTGGTCCAAAGACACGTTCAGTCCTGATGAGCACTTCTGGGTGACGCTCAATAGGATTCCAGGTATGTGAGAGTCATGTTACATGCAAAGGAATACCTGCAGGTCTCCTTATGCACAGGTACCACATTTCAGGTTCAACCCATCTTGGATGGGAAATATTCATGAAAAAACAATGTGCCTGGCGGATCTCTGTGAGTTCGAGGCCAGCCAGGTCTACAGAGTGAGTTCCAGGACAGCCTCCAAAACAATACAGAGAAACCCTATCTCGAAAAAACAAAAAAACAAAAAAAAAAACAAAAAAAAAACAAACAAACAAAAAACCAATGTGCCTGTATTGAGCATACATAAACTTTCTTGTTATGACTCCTAAAACAATGCAATTTAGCAATTATCACATGGCATTTCTACTGAGCTAGGGGTTACAAGTCATGCAGAGAACATATTACTATACAGGAGGATGTGTGTACGTAGGTTATATGAAAATGTTACACCATTTGATAAAAAGGACTTATATCCACAGGCTTTCATCACCCAAAGAGGGCCCTGGCACCAATTCCCCAGGGATGCTGAGGGGTGGCTTTGTTTAAAGGACTTTTGAAGAACCTGCCTCTTTAAAAAAAGGGATTAGAGATGGAGCCTGCAGTGTAGAACCCTCACCTTAGTTCTTTATTAGTGCCCATGATGCTCTTTGCGGGTTCGTCCCCAAGCAATGCCTTCCCTCCTGCCCCTGGCAGCTCACGTCTGTTGCAGTCATCTCTTACACTGTGTTTAGTTCATACTAGAAGTTTTCCTTCTCCACAGATTTATCAGACTTCGTCTGAGCCTAAGATCTTTACCTGAGCCACCTTCCTGCCTAGCCCTAGAACCGCACATCTCCCTTCTCACCGACCAGACCACAGCTGTCAGAGGAGGGCTACTCCGGCCAGCTGCCTGCTCCGTCCCCACCCCCCGGTGCTGTGCCAGCACACTGCCCACTTTTCCCTGCAGAGCCGCTCTGCGTAACGCTCATTTATCCTCATCTGCAAGGATTTGCTGCTGGCCTTTTCTGTGGGAGCTCCATGGAATTGAGATCATTTTCTGTCTCAATCAATGACTGCCAGATTCCCACTGAGCAGATCACATAGTAAATGCTCAGTACGTGTGTTAGAGGAAAGGGTGTGAGCAGATTCCCACTGAGCAGATCACACAGTAAATGCTCAGTAGTTTGTTAGAGGAAAGGGTGTGTGGGGTCACAGCTGGCTGTGGGGATGCAGAATGCTGAGAGAAATTTGGATTTGTGAGAATATCATTACACTGTGATATGTATGCATGCACGCATGCATGCGGAGAGACGCCTTAGCAGTTAAGAGCACATACTGCTCTTCCAGAGGACCAGAGTTCAGTTAATTCCTGGCACCCACACGTGGTGTCTCAACAACCATCTGTTACTCGGCCCCAGAGATCTGACTCTGGCCTCCACAGCCACCTGCACTCACATGCAAGTACGTGCACAACAGACATACTCACATACAGGTAATTTAAGAAATAAATTGTGTGTTAAAAAAAGAAAAAGGAAAACCTTACATTTTACTTCATACAAATAATGCGATTCCAAGACAAAGCCTCTTCTTTCTCATCAAAATGTTTTTACCTTTAATCATTGACTAGGTAAGTTATTTTTACTACAATTTTATTTATTTTTGTGGGGAGGCAGAGTATGTCACAGCACAGTGCCATATTCTATACCCGAAGAAACTAAATTTGGTCAACTAGCACAGCCACATTAGCAGTAAAAAGTAAAAAGAGATTTATTATCTGTGGCCTCAGTGGAAAGACTGATGCAGAGCATCACTAGAAGATCTCTTTAACTTCTTAGGGTGCATACTGGGACCCCGAGTTCAATGATGAGGACAGCTTTGGGAATTGGCTTCCTTCCTTCACCATGTGGGTTCTGGGAATCAAACTTTAGTCAATCTTGGCAGCAGTTGCCTTAATCTGATGAGCCGTGAATCATGCTCCTCAAAACCTATGCAAAATGTGATAGAATTGCTTTGGAAGGCAACAGCATGCTTTGGACTCAGTGAAAAAGACAAATGGATTGCTAATGAGCTAGAAAGCACTATTACAGCGAGAGAAAAGCTATCATTGTTCTGCCATTGGGGGAAGGCCAAGTTGGGAATGCTGGTAAGTGCTCTGGGGCAGCAGGGCAAGGCTTGCTGGGTAATAAACATATCCGTGTTCTGGAAAATACCAGGCGGGTTGGTCTCTGAATCCCAGTGTGACTGGCACAGCCACCTATTAGGTTCAGCACGCCCTATCATCTTTTCACCCTTGCTCTGTTGTTTCTATTACTGGCATGCAATTTGGGGACATTAAGCACTGAGAAACTGATTTTCATAATTAAATATTTATTCCTTTTCTATTTCCAGTATTCTCTTAAAATTCATGAGACTTGGAGTCTAGTCATGTGCATCTTGGGTATGGTACTGCATGAGATAAGGTCATTATATGACTCCACCAAAGAATGGCCTGTCGTGTTTTTTAAAATGGAGAAAGATATTGTTGGGTCCTCCAGCAGGTAGAGCTGGGGGGGGGGGTCCAGCCGGTCTCTTCCCGGGGCTGAGCAGGATGGTGAATGTTGACAGCTGAGAACCTTCCACCCACGAGTTATGGGTGTGTGTGTGTGACGGGGGGGGGGGGTAATGGATGGATTCACACTGAGCCTCGAGACTGTCCAAGCAGAATCTCAGTTTATTTTAACAGGTATGAACTTACATAGGGCTCTGAGGTAGGGGATAGGAATCATAGGATAGGGTGATCCAGAGCCTCATCTAATTAATTTCCCCCTATGTCTTTTGGAGCTGGGGCAAGGTATAAGAATCCTGTATGTGAAGTTGGGGTTTAACAGGAAAGACAGTATCAAGAAATAACTTGGAACCCAAAATCTTAAAAGGAGGACTAGTCTGAATCTTTTTAGGAACTACCTTAAAATCATTGAACTCTAATATGGCAAGACATTTGGTAGTAAGATCTTGGAGGTCAGATGGGTTGGGACAACCCAAAATAATATCATCCATATAAATATAGAATAATATTTTAGGATGATCAATCAAGGAAGAAAAAATATGTAACATATAATACTAACAAATAGGAGGGCTATTGCCATGCCCTGGGGTAGGATGGTCCATTCAAATCTTAGATCTGGCCTGCAAAATTAGTGAAGGATGGAAAATTCTACATCATCTGGATGTAATGGGATAAAGAAAAAACAATCCTTAATATCAATAATAGTTAAATAATGGGTGTTGGGAATGGCTGGAATCCAGGGGAGTCCCCTTTGGGCGCTCCCAAAATGTATCATCCTCTCATTTTTTTTTTTTTTTGGTTTTTCGAGACAGGGTTTCTCTGTGGCTTTGGAGGCTGTCCTGGAACTAGCTCTTGTAGACCAGGCTGGCCTCGAACTCACAGAGATCCACCTGCCTCTGCCTCCCAAGTGCTGGGATTAAAGGCGTGCGCCACCAACGCCCTGCCTCTCTTTTTTTTTTTAATCCTCAAGTCATGTAAAAGCCTCCAAGAACCATTGGACTTTTTTTTTAATAACAAAAACTGAGGAATTCCAGGGCTTTGTTGAAGGCCACACGTGCCCCAAGGCTAATTGTTGCTCAACCAATATATGAAGTTGTTGTAATTTATGGGTGGATATAGGCCACTGCTCAACCCAGGGGATTTCCAGGCACCCACTGAATTTTTGGTACCAGAGGGTGAGCAGTGGCCCTTAGGATTAGGGGTGAACCCGGCAATGTTTTTGTCTGATTTTTTCAAAATAAGGATAATCTCTATAGTTAGGGGGACTGACCTGTCCTTGTTTAAATTGCTGTTCATAGTCTTCTTGGTCTAGTATCTCCTCATAGAAGTCCTTGTGATCAGTGATAATATAGGCCTTAGCTTCTCCAAGTATATCCTGACCCAGGAGATTGGCCATTAAGCCCCACACCACTAGAGGGCGTACCTCCCCACAATTACCATCAGGATCAGTCTAGGGCTGCCAGTTTCCCATGTTTCCCATGATGTTGACTGTCCGCCCACACCTGGCAAGGGTGGGCCAGGGACCAACTGCCAGGAGGGGACTTCCTCCTCTCTTATCACCTTATGATCAGCCCTGGAGTCTATGAAACAGGGGACTCTGTCGGGCCTTCCTCTAGCCTTTTCCAAGCTGCAAGCCCCAGTGCTTGAACCTGGTCCTGATAAGGATCAGGGATGGCCACCTGTTGGAGGCCTGTTGAGAACTGGTCAGAGGGGACAGAAGCCTGCCAAAAGTAACTGGGACCGCAGGGCGGGCTTTCTGATTTCGTTCTGCCTGGATGTGACAATCATCCTGAGAAAATGCGCCCCACTTCAGAAACATGAATCCGGGAAGCACTGCCCTAGCAAGGTCCTTCCAATCCTGAGTGGTACATTGACGGTGGGCTAAGCCCTGGAGGATCGTTTCTGTCCGGGGGGATTAGGTCCGTCCTCTGAGACGGCGTTTTTGAGTTTCTTTAAATCATCTTCCCAGGGATACCAGGCGGTTGCCACCGGGGTTAACATTGACAGGAAAAAGATATTTCTCTCCCAGAAGCATCCTTCCCCGCAGTAAGGCAGAGGTGCAGTGGGGTTCCGGAAAGGATTAGAGGGGGATCTGGAAGTGGCATACCCCTAGATGGCCAAGGAGCACTTTCAAAGGGGTCTAGGGATAGATATAGGAGCGCAGGGTGGTGTGAGGGACTGGGTGTAGGCATTTTGGGTGGATCAGGATGGGACAGGCATTCTGGCACTCGGGAGTCACAGAATACTGAATGTTTTACAGCTCAGGTGGAAAGGTATCCTGGAGCTCGGGAGCCACGGATACTGAGTGTTACACAGCTCAGGTGGAAAGGTATCCTGGAGCTCGGGAGCCAAGGATACTGAGTGTTACACAGCTCAGATGGAAGGGTATCCTGGAGCTTGGGAGCCAAGGACCACCACAGGTTGTAGTAAGCTTAGCAGCTTACAGCCTTGCCTCAGAGAAAGGCTTCCCCGGTGTATGGGCTCTGCTCCAGCAGGA